TGTAGCGATAGGGTAGAGGCAGCTAGCGCTGCCATAGCTGTAGCATAGTATGTGTGTGTGTTGTGTATGATACGGAGTGTTGCGTGTGGGACATCCAGGGTGATCCAGAGTGCGAACAGTGAGTTGTGTGGGCGCCCAGTCGCCATAGCCAGTTGAAGAGAACTCATATCTGGTTACGATATCTTGAGTACTGTGTGGGCGCATGTCGCAAGTTGCTGTACCGCTGTTTGCAGGCATGACAAAGTGACAAGAAGACGAGTTTGAATTTACATTAGACAAAGGTAGATGAGAAGAGAACCGAGTTGCACAACTTATATTATCAAATATATGATTACAAAGAGTTTCAATGCCCCCTGAGTCCAGCGCTTATCAGCGCAATGTAAATCCCTTGTCAACTCATCAACATGGCTTCAACACCTCAGCGCTACTTCTGCAGATTGTACGCAAGTTACCAATGTGATCACCACTCATCAGCGCCACCTCTGCAGCTCTCATCCATCTCAGGTAAGTATCTTCCATAGCCAAACCTTGATTGAATACTCTCTGTCCTTCGTCCCAGACCCTGCATTGCATGTGTCCCAGTACAGTCCCAATGAAGTTCAACTGCTGCTGAGGCCTCTCGGCCTAGATTTGGACTTGAAAGTCTGGATCTGGACTGTCCCCTTGACCTAGACCAGAACTGGGACTTTATCTATTGACTTACTTTCGGACAGACACATCTTTAGACGAACAGACACACTCACTGCCCCTGAACAGACACTCCCAAGGTGTGAATAGACACTCTTCTTTGCACGAACAGGTGCACTGACTGCACGCACAGACACACCCTATTCCGAACAGATTTGACATGCACATCTCCTGGTGAACAGGTAAGTCTTTTGACAATGCCCCTTTGCTTTAGATTTGGATGTGCTCATTGATAGAGAACTTGACCTTTGACCTGCTTTCACGTTTCTGAGCCCTGGCGAGATACCCTTTCACGCTGCTTTACTTTTACAAGGCCTGAGGCCTGCATCGGGTAAAGGCCCTTTTAGAACTATTAATAGAACTACACTACCCTAGCCTAGACCTAGACCGGACTGACTGGACCGACCGGTACCGTTTCAATTTCGGCCTCTTGGCCTCTCCCTACCCAACTGTAGGCTATAGGACCGCCTATTGGCACAGGCCATTAGGGCCTGTCCGTCCTAGGGGTAGCCCAGGCCTGCTATTTGCAGTTAGGGTAGCTGTAGGAAATTCCAATTAGTGCGCTCCTATATTTTCCCGAATTTGCAGATATGTCCCTCACAATTTTTCCTCACAGGCAAGTCTCTCGGTGTTGCATACCGTAATGGTGCAGACCAGAACAAGAACCGACCTCTCTCACATAGTACAGGATAGGAAGGCTAAAATACCAATGATCAGACCAATCAATGTCGCAATGCCTACCAAACATACATCATCATCCTCGCAAGGTGTGAAGGGGCCTTGCGCTACACACAGGAAGAATGCGCCAGGCCCAGATCATACACAGACGAAGAGGAGGGGGATCAGACAAAGAAGAAGGGAAGGATGGGGACGTCGTCAACACCAAGTCTTCGATATAGATCCCAAATAATCCCCTTCCTATGTCGCTGTCCCACTGTCGAAATACTCGAAGTCACAAATCTATATCTCTCTTTCTCCCTCGTAGTCTGGCAGATAGCGAGAAGTCAGGTAGCGAGAGGGTGAGGGAGAGATGGTGGACTGTAGGAGGAAGAAGAAGAAGAACTCTCTCTCTCTCTCTCAGTGCCAGGTACTAACCTGTGGAAGGTGGCGCCTTGTTGCAGGTACATCGAAGACGAAGCTGGAGCGATGGCATCACAGGTAAGCTCCCAGGTAAGTCTCCCTGGCCTCCGCCTCTCTCTCTCTCTCTCTCTCTCTCTCTCTCTCTCTCTCTCTCTCTCTCTCTCACGCTACTCTAAGCGCCCAGCGCTGAAGACTACTTCTATCTCCTACTACTGCAGCTCTCCGCTGAGTGCTGCTGCCGAGTGCCAAAGCCTGCCTCCTGAACTGCCTGCTGCCTCCTGGGAGGACCAGTACTATATAGTGCTGGTCCGACTGGGAGGCTGCTCTTGCCAATGCCGAATCATGCCAGACCCTGGTGCTGAAGTTCAAAAAAAAGTTGTCTTGAAACTGGCCTAAAAGTGGCCTGCGCTTATCCCTGCTCTGGCGCCTAAGTTTCACGAAAGGTCGACTTTATGAGGGCCTAAAATTGGCCCTCCTTTTTAGGCTTTTAGGCTGAAACGACGCAGGGCCTGAAGGGCCCTTATCCGCCTGGTCGGGCCCTGCAGGCCTGTGTGGTGCGAAGTATGCCACACTCGGTTAGCACTCAGCCAAACAAAATTACAAATCTAACCTACGTATGTTACAGCCTCAGGTCGACGGGTCACCGGCTGCAGACAACAACAAGTCATTGCACATACCTGGTCTTGGCGATGGTCTACGGGGTCAACATCTTCATGTAGTTCGGTTGTTGCTGCTGATGTCAACAGGATGCATTGTCAATTTGTAGGCTGCTAGTAGCTGTGTGATAGTAGTCTGGGCGCTGAGCGCCAAGTAGAAGAAAGGACTGTGGATACATATGTTGGTGGTGGCGAGAGTATGCTTTCATTGACATTCGGATTGAGTCCTTTGGTTCTCCATTGGTGGAATATCAGTGCATTTCTGCTTTCTGGACAGCGTTGGACTTTCTGGCTTTCAATGTGATTTTGCACTCTGGATTTCTGTCATTTCGCTATCGCTTATTTTCCTTGCAGTTGGAATAATATTTACAATAATCATAATAATAACAAAATGATTCTGTGTGTGTGTGTGAGACCAGATACAAGAGGTATTTGGCACGAGGAGGTCAGCAATGCCATTGGAGAACAGGACTGGTCCAGATGGATTTGTCCAAGGGATTGATCTAGGAGGTGAGAGCGAATGTGAACTCACACCTGTGTGGTTGAGGAGATCGCCACCGCATGAGAACATACTGCGCACTGCAGAGGCCAAGTCAGCGACAGAAGATCTGCTCCCTCATGACCATTGGTTTAAGGATTCAAGGAGCATGGCAGAGCAGTCATCAGCTGCTGGAGAGCTTCTTGAACAAGTGGAACCCGGGCAGTGGAAAGTGAAAAAGCGCGAGGAGAAATGGAGTTCAGCAACAAAGATGGTGGAGCACAAGGAGGGGTTGTTGAGAAAAATAAATGCCGTCTGTGCTCCAGAAGGAGTGGAATTGAGGGCCAGTAAGGGTGCAGCTAGTTGCACGTCTGTGGGTTGGGATATCCATTCTGCAACGGACTTCTTGGGAATTTCCTGGTCTCGTGAAAATTATCAGCACACTGGCTCCCCTGGGATTGAGGCTGACATGCTGGAGCACATGGTACGGTTTGGGGATGTCGTGGTTGCTTCCCGTGATGCAACTGCCATCATCTCATCGTCATCCGGAGTGCAGGAAACCATGTCAGTTAGCAGTTCGTCATCGCCTGCAAAACCCGAGAAGATGAGTGGGGTGGAGCACCCTGTAGACTTGCAAAGTGCACTTCGATTAGCACAATCACGAGCGCGCCACTCAGAAGAGGCAATCGCTGCAGTGGAGCTGGCATGCTTCCAATTGATGGAAGCAGCAATCAGGATTGAACAGGAGAGTTCACTAGAGCTGGCACATGTGCAAGGGATGCTTCCTTGCACGTGGGGAGGCAGCATGGGTGCTTGTGAAGAAGTGGAAAAAAGGGAACAATCATCTGCTAAGCCTGCAGGTGATTGGTGGATGGAAGGGGCTTTCGGGACAAGGAGTGGTGCAGAAGAGGCAAGCAGTTGTTCTAGGGGAGGTGGAGGCTGGAATGGGGGAGGGACGAGAAATGTTGTGGGTGATCATGATTTGCCCAGGTCCACAGCTGAATGTTTACATAGAATGCTCATGTATGCCCAGAGATTGAGAGAACAATGTGCAGAGGCAACCTGCACCATTCGTGTCCTCGATGCTGTTATATTTCCAAAGTTACCATTCCCGATTCGTGCGAGATGGAGGCGGAGAAAGATGGGAGTGAGTGGCGCAGAAAGGCGGGGACTCTGGCATTGTCAAATGACAGATGCGTTGGCAAACCGGGCGGGTCAGGGGGAGCTGACAGTGCAGCTAGGGGTTTCTACGAGTGCAGAATGTTCTAGACATCTTTCAGGTGTGGAAGGCAGGCCGGAAATGGAGAAGTACATGAGCCTGGTAAGTTCTGTGGTTGTTGTGCCGTTTTTGGTGGTGGTTCTGCCTTTTTTAATCTGTCATGGGAAAACAATCGTGTGTAGAATCACTGTAGATATGAAAAGTCTTTGCAGTATTTCTTCAGCACTTGGGTGTTGCACGGACATGGACGAATCCCAGTTGCATTATGCAACAAGATAGAGAATTGCGTGCATTTTCACCACTGAGGACACAGTTTCACATAGAACACCCATAGCAGGAATAAATTTAAACCATCAATAATGTTGTGCACCTGCCCTGGTTAACAGATGGCTACAGTTGGTCCATTGGATACGATATCCAATGACCTGAGTGTTTTTTACCTCTCTGTAGCGGTGGGCCCAACTTTTCAGGACGTTGTGGTGGTTCAAGTGAGTGGCAGTGAACTACAATCTCAGGGTTATTGTAGTCTTATCGTCCTCTGCATGCAGAAATGTTGACAACTCGACACAGGTTCAAAACCAGAGCAAAGACACGTGGCAATCCAACGAAAAAGGCCATGGGAGTCAGTGCACTGCTGACCATGAATGGACACGTTTCTCTGTATCTCCTCACCACATTCTCCTCATTTGTTACTTCTCCAATCTTACTCTTCACTTGTTTCCTCCTCGTGTCCTCATCGCTTCAGCAGTCCTCCATTGAAGCATGGTGCGTCACCCAGTGTTCCATGCTGCGCCTGCACAGGAGGGCCATTGTCCAGGCCTTGCGTCCCTCAGGCTGAAAGCCTGAAAACCAGGGCCTACAGGCCCCGTGACTGTTCAGCCGAAAGCCTGAAAACAGGGGGCCTACAGTCCCTGTGTCGTTGCAGACTAAAAATGGCAACAGCCTTTTTAGCCTGAAACGGAGGGCCATTTTCGGTCGTTCATCAGAACGACCGGCCCTGAAACTCAGGCACCGAACCAGGGTTTCGGGAACAGGCTATTCTTAGCCTGTTCCCCATCAGCAGCTGCTGCAGGGCCAGCCCCTGGCACACTTCGGCATTGGCAAGAGCAGCCTCCTCGGCCTGGCTCGCCCTTCAGGCAGTCAGGAGGCAGGCCGAGGTAGTACATAGGGACTTCCCATGCACTTCACGGGCAGGCAGGAGGCAGTAGTCTTCAGGATTCGGCCGCAGCACTCTGGAGGGAGCACTGCAGGGAGTAGCCTTTAGTCTTCAGTGCTGGGCGCAGTAGGTAGCTGTAGTCTCCAGCGCTGGGCGCCATAGCTAGGATAGCACTAGAGAGAGAGAGAGGTTGGGCGGAGGCCAGAGGTACTTACCTGCAGCGCCGTTGCTCCAGCTTCGTCTTCGAGGTACCTGCAGCACAGCGCCAACATCACAGGTCAGTTCCTGGCTCGTAACAGAGAGAGAGARTTCTTCTTCTTCCTCTTCTCAGTCCACCATCTCCCTCTCACCCTCTCATCATCTGACTTCACTGCATCTGCAGACTACGAGAGAAGAGAGAAAGAGCTTGGTGACATTGGATCCAGACTCGACTTTTGGACTTCAGACATTACAACGAGGGACTATTTGGGACTTGTGACAAAGACTTGGTGTTGACGACATTCCCATCTCTCCCTCTCCTCTTCGTCTGATCCCCTCCTCGTCGTCTGTGTATGTCTGGACCTGGCGCTTCCTTCCTGTGTACAGCGCCAGGCTCCTTCACACTTTGTGATGGACACGATGTATGTTGGTCTGCGTTCAAACATTGATTGGGCTAGTCGTTAGCATTCTAGCATTCTGCTTCGCTACTTTGTACTACGTGAATGAGGTCAGTCCCGGTCAGGTCAGGCTTTGTATCTAAGTCTTCCCTGCGCTATTCAGCATCATTTTGTATGTATCAGAATGCACATTGCTTTTTGAGTTTCTACTTGCACTGCATTGTCCATTCAGTCTTTTTCATCACATTGCGGATCCTCGATGTACATCGCCTATCTAGGCATGTAACAGTTGGTATCGTTGCACCGCACATGAATCAGGACAACCTGATCTGACACGTGTGCGGGGACTAAAGTAGCTGATTAGTCTTTATAGATTGATTAGAGCACACTAGTTAGCCCCCAAAATCACGATTTTGACCTTACTGCCGAAAATCGAAATTTTTTTTTTTATCTTTCCTTGGATTTTGTTTTCTCGCTATTCTGTTGTAAAAAATCGCAATAACGCAACATCTGAAATTTGAAATTTCCATTTTCATTTTTCTTCTGAAAATTCGAAATTTCGTTGTTGAAAATTCGGAATATTCTTCTTTTCGAAAATTTCGATTTCCTGTTGCATTTCTCGTTACTTGGAAATTCGGAATATTTTCTTCTTCGAAATTCGTTTTTCTGAAAACGGTACGGGAAATCCCTCCTGCAGGTATTATTTTCCAAACTGCGAATATTCTCATCTGAGAAAATCCGAATACTTGTCATTTCTTTTCGGAATTTTTTTCGCAGTTCGAACTTCAAGGGAGGCCGGGAGACCTACTGAACTTGCAAAAGTCGGGATTTTTATTTTTCGATTTTTTTTTCCAAAGTTCGAACTCTTCCTTTTTTTGATTAGTGGCTCCTTATCTGGGCGATTCTT